AATTTTACCATACTTGTCCTCTTCATTTCTCTCTTAATACATTGCCATTGTGTGATTTGTGTTGGTATGAACTGTGACTAATCTGAAAAATCTCATTTTGTGTTTGTGAAATAGCAATACATAGAGCAGCTGGTCCAGAACTTAGAGCAGCATGTTATCAAGTACCAGAAGTTCGTCCTGGAGTCCGTTGTCCAACCGGTGAAGCAAGAATTACTCCGTGAGTTGCTCGGTTTCTTATAATGTGTATGTACACATGTAGATTAAAATTGGGATTGTTGATTACTGAACCAGTTGGATTGGAAAATTGGAACAGGGGTTTTAGCTTGCCTGCATCCCGTGTGATTCACAGTGTTGGACCTATCTATGACTCAGATGTTAACCCGAAAAAATCCCTCGCAAATTCTTACAGGTAAGCGTAAACTCAGTTTCCTTGTTTACTACTACGAGACATGTTTCCCCTGGATATAAAAAACAATTAAACTTTTGCTGCAGAAATAGTCTGAGAGTGGCCAAGGAAAACAATATCAAGTACATTGCATTTCCTGCCATATCTTGTGGGATTTACGGGTAAAATTGTCACAAACAGAGGCTTAAGTCGTTCCTATTTCAAATGACAACTCTTGGAAATTTAGAGAGCTCTTATATCCGCAATGTAATGTTGTTGTTGTTAGATATCCTTTTGATGAAGCTGCTGTGATCGGTATATCAGCGATCAAAGAGTTCGCCAATGACTTTAAAGAGGTAATGATTGTTTCTCTCGTTCATGTTGTTACACTTCAATGGATCCAATCCACTAAATGACTGACTTTTTTACAATGTCATTTTGTCGTTCTTGTAGGTGCATTTTGTTTTGTTTGCGGACGATATTTATAGCGTGTGGGTAAACAAAGCAAAGGAGGTACTACAAAAAGCTTAAGATTTCCTTCTCTGCAGACCTAAATAGGACCAAGTAAATCTCTAAAACTCCAACACAGACCAAGTATTTGCTATTTGTGTTACGTGATGAGAGCCTTGTGATTGACATTTGATAGTAATGGTTACACTATGGTAATAAATAAAGGTTTTAAAAGGGTCCAATATTTGTCTTTTGCTGTATACATGTTTGGTGTACCAAAACACTTGCTAGTTGCTACAAATCAAGCAACAGGGGAATGTATGAAAATGAAGAATTTAAAAATATGAGAAAGGAAAAAAAAAATCGAGATATAGAAATATTTTCTTACAGCTTACACTCGACTAGTAATTATCCTAAGAAATATTGGATTATTAGTAGTCTAAATCAATTAAAATTTAAGGGA